CAAACTCACGACCTTGTGCTTGCAAGGCAGGCATGGTGCCACAGAGCTAAATCCCCAGCCCCGATCTCTAGCTCCTTAACTCTTCCTTCTCCCAGATCAGATAACAATCTAAACATTGCTACCTTGCTTCTTCCTATCTGCCTTCACCACCTTCAACTTTAGGATCCCCATGACTCTGTTTCCCCACTCACTCATGGGTGGTTAGTCCTAGAATCACAACCATCAGGGCCTACTCTGAATCAACACAATAGAAGTATCCTTGGGCTCTTTCTGATTTTCAGGGGCTCTGCCACACTTTCCTCTATCAAATCTTCCAAAGCAGTCATCTTAAATTGTTTCTATCTTCTAAAGTTTCTGATTCCACTCAGCCTTCTTGAACATTTACTATTTGCCAGAAAGACTGATATTTCTCCTGAGTACCACCTATATCCCTCTATCACACTGAAATTTTCTATGCTTTTACTCCCTCCTAACTGCCTTGGTGTATCAAACCAAGTATCTTTCAACCCTTCTACTTGAGATCTTCAACTTTTTCTTCCCTTTCTTCAACCTTGATTGAGGTCATCTATACACGTCTATGATTTCCTTTGCTCTACCTTTTTAGCATTTATAACAACAATGAAAACACATGTCTAAGCTTTCTTCTTTCGCCAGACCACTAGAAAAGAGGCTACACTCACAGCCCCCCACACATACCTAAGCAATTCTTCTCCCTCTCCCCAACTTCCATTCTTCTTCTAAAATAGTCTCAAATCTTCCCAATCACCAAATCCAATAGCTTTTCCTGGACTACATCCTTCTTGACTCCTCTATGGCTCTTCAGACTCAACACAATCAAAATCAAACTGAGTATTTCTCTTCCCCCTTCCTACCATTGCTGACCTTCTCCATTTCTCCCAATTAAGTTAAAACTTTCCTGTCATCATCGCTCAAATTCTGTTAAGTTCCTATCATTCCACCACTGTTATATCTGAATCACTCAGTTCCTCCCTTTCCATTTCTAAGACAGGCAACATCTTCTCTCAACACAAGTCAACACATTGCACCAGTTTCCTAGCTTTTTTTTTTTTTTTTTGCTAAAGTAACCTTCCTAAATCTTTGATTGTCTAACAAAAACAAAAAAATACAATTTTTTTATCCTAAGAAAGAAAAACTGGTTCTAGCCTATGTTTTCTTCCTTTCATTTCATGTATTTCAGATTTTCTCCGAACTCTGGGAGAATTCAGAGTTCTCAGAATACACCTTGCACTTTCTAACCAATTTGCCTAAATCAGACTAGCCTACTCATTTGTAATGTTCAACATGGTCTTTACTTATTGAAATCCTATTATTGTTTGCAGAACTTGATAAAGATACCATCTTTTCCTATCTCTCGTTAGCTGCAGATTATTCCTTCTTTGAACTTCCACAGTTTCAATGCACTCATCTGCTTTTTTCTTATTCTTATTGTATGTTCTTTTTTATACTATAGTTACTATGAACTTACCTTATTATTCTTATCAGATTATAAATTATTGGAGAAGTGATGATGGTGATAATAACAACTGTAGTAATAATCTCCATAATAACAAACTTCTTCCATATTCCAGTTCTTTGCAAAGCATGTAGCTTCATGACCTCAGCAACACTATGAAGAGCATCTCCACTTTTAGATGTGATTAAGTAATGTGCTCAAGGCCAATACGTACAATGTGGCAGAGCTGGAAATTTAATTTAGGCTTGTGTGATTTCTAAAGCCATGTTCCTACCTACTATGTAGTGTATCTCACCATCTTTAGATCAACGGAGAGCCACTGAATAAAACATGTTCCTCCTAAGTCCCAACAGATAGCACAGTTTACCTAGCCATAGTCCCCAGAGTTGCTGAGCCAGTTTGGGTAATACATTCATCGAAGGGAGAAGAAATAGCTTAGACTCTTAACTCTTAAAGGATGAAAACACGATAAAAGTTTTTGTGTCCCATGATTAAACAGAATATAAAATGCAAAGAAAAAGATCTAATTTACCTGGATTAAGCAATGGCCTAAGTTTGTCTCTTTTCTTGGAACTGTCAAGGTCAGAAAGGCAATGAATCAAGGCTACTCTAAAAGCCTTACTTAGATAATTTAAATCATATTTAGACACAGCCTCCAATAATTCTAGTTTTTGACATCAGCGCTCTGAAAACATAATTGTACTCTGCTGACAGAATCAGAATCAATGTAAATTTAGTGTCCTGTTTTACATATGAACAGGTAAAACGATATATGGCATATATAGATATCAATGTAAAGAAAGTGGTAGTTGAAGCTTTCTATATGTAAGCAGCTAAGGGCTATAATCCTCTGAGAGGAATGTCATTATAAGCTCAAATCCTATCACAACAAATACGTTCACAACAGAGATGTCTGTATAACAAAAAAATCTTTCAAGCTTTGGCTGACAGCCCATGTATTTCAAGCTTATTTGATGTGAGACTTGGAGTTCACAGTAATGGAAATTGACCTGTACTTCCAAAGGTAAGATTTGAATGATTTCATTGTACTCCTATCCCATGATACCATGGGCTAAAGTGATGTACAATCCAAATCCATGAAACTAAAAACTAAACATAAATACAGAACCAAAGTCCACCTTAATCTTAAAGGGTGAAATTCTTTCTTTTCACTTGGGATCTTTTAGGTAAAGAGAAAGCCTCTGACCTGAGTCTGGAAATGCAACAGTTCAGAGCTGGTTTCGGGTCTTATCTCACTGAGTGGCAAAATGGTATGGTACAAGAAAACTATGTTCAAATCTCCCTCTTTCCATTACTAGCTGGGTAAACTATATCTAGCTATATTTCTTCTCTTTTGAGCCTCAGTCTTCTCATCTGTAAAATGTGACTGATATGACTTACGTTCAAGATTTCAGTAAAAACTCTAAGAACACATATAAAATTCTTAACAGAGTGCCTTACACTTAGCATGTGCTCAAAATAGTTAGTTCCCTCATCAGGCTTCCCTTCCTCTCCAAGACCCTGAGCTTCTGCATGCTATTTTCATGAAATTAGTTAGAAGACCTAGTAAATGGAAGTTAACAGAATATACAGTCTCATATGCACTCTGGGCAAAGTGTTGCTCCAGTGAACATCCAGGAAATGAAAGAAAATGATAAAATAACTAGGCCATGCACAAGTATTTATTTGCCTATGAAAAACACTTTTTTGGCTGAGGGAAGACATATGTACTCAAAAGTTAAAATGCAGATGACTGGGCATCATAACAATAAATGAGCTCTGATTATTTTGTCAAGAGGTCATTTTGAAAAATGCTGATAGCCTAAAATTCAGTCACATTTTCTTGGTCAAGGATGAAATACAGTTGCTGCTTTGGCCTAGTTTTCTTTTAGGTGCTATTCTAAGTGTCAGAAGGGCACTTATTTGGTGCCTTCTTAGCCCAGTCTCATATTTTATACTCTTCTCCTCAGTAGGATACTGTGAAAGTATTAAAACAAACTCTAGTTTCTCCAGTTGGGAAATACGTAGTTAAATAGCTTCTCAAGATATTCAGTAATGGTTCTCAGTATCACTCTAATTTATGAGGTTTTTAATTTTAATGGTTTTTAGATACCTGATTTTTGCTTTATAAATTATTCGTCAATCAAGTTTGTGATTACAAAATTCTATAGTCTTTTGAAAACAACTTTGTTGTTACATGAAATGTTTTGAGATAGAAAACCTGAGTCTTATAATCTGAAGGCAAGTGTGTTCACCTTTATAAAATGAATACTGGCTAGGCCTTTAAAATTACTTAAAAAGCTTCCTAAGCCTTATCAAGCCTTGGCAACCATGGGGAACAAGAGATAGCCAACATTTCTCAGAATCACGGGGTGTGAGTTATAAAGATTTCTTAGTCCTATCATTTTACCTTGTCGTTAAGCAAAAGGTTCAGAGAAAATTATTGTATTCATGTGTTCAACTTAAGTGTATATGCAAACCAAACAATGGAGTTTCTTATATACAGTACAACATAAAAATAAAATAACAGATCAGACAGAAATACCCAGGCATAGAGAAAAAAGATCCACAAAAATATGGAGAAGCTCTGAGTAGAAAGATCGAGAGATCAACAACAGAGAAACAACAAAATTATTAAGGTGAGAAGGTTAAAACAGTGATAGAGACCAAGTGGTAGCAGCAGAGGAGATACTTTACATTCAGTTTGCACCAAGCTTCTGAGGTAGGGCTGAAATACACAGAAGCATCAACCTGGTACAGTGGTTCCTGGCCTCTATTTTAATAACTGCAACTTCCACCCCCATCATCTTAAAATGGAGGCAGTAACCACTACCAGCTCAAACACTTTAATTTTACCACTGATAAGGGCGTAAATCTCAAGCATTTTTGAAGGTGTGCTAACTAGCTCAAACCACTAGGGCACTACTCCCTGGCTTCAAGACACACTTCACTTAATGATCCCCACCTAGCCCCCAAGACTGGACATCCCTCCTAAAAGTGAAAGCTATCTTCCTCACACCAGTGGCACCATACTAACAGTTTAGAAGGCATTTCAAGGTCCCTGTAGGCAATGAAAAAATAAAATACCATTGTAATTACATGAGAAATTACGGGAGGGTAGCACAGAAAGAGTTAGCTCCTGAAATGCAAGGCTGAGAAAAACTGCTCCTCAGAGAAGCAGCCACCCCACCCAAGAAGAGACAGTGCTGCTAGAAAGTGGTCTCATGGGAGCAATCGGGTGCCTGGACAGAGGCTGGAAGCATTCCTGCCCTCTCTCCCTCTCCAGTCCCACCTGTCCCAGCAGGCGGGCGGGAGCACAGGGAGGAGCCTGGAGGAGCAGCCAGAGCACAAGGGCTGCCAGCACCAGCTGCTCCCAGCCCGTCCTCCTCCTCCTTCTCTACCGCCCTCCCTCCTGCAGGCTGTGGGCTCTGGGTGGCCCTGGTCAGCCCAGCGATGCTCACAACGCCCTCAAAACCCACCTGGACACCTGAATGACCCCACCCCATGCGACCCACACTGTCTGTACCTTTACTCTGGGGAGGGTTTTGACTCCGGTCTCGGAGGACGTTGATCTGGTAGACGGCTCCATAAGGCTCAAAAAGTTCTTTCAGCTCCTTTTCTGACCATGACCGGGGGATCTGTCCGACAAACATCTTAATGGCATCTGGGTCTGGTTGGTCTGAGTGATCCAAAGCTCCGTTCATCTTGTTGGCTGTGCCGTTACTGTCAAAAACGGAACCAGGAGCCAGAGTTAGGGCTGCAGGGTGAGGGACAGGAAGAAAAAAAATTGTGGGGGTGAGGGGGTGGGGAGGCGGAAGGAGGAGGAAGAAGAGCACGGGGAAAGTGCCTAATGAGTCGTAGAAATTTGATGAACTAAAACAAAGCAGAGGCACCATTAGGTTGTTTCTCAGTGGCAAGCCAGGCTTTCACTGCATGCTGCTGTTCAGCATCGCCGCTGGAGCACAGGGCAGCGCTGGGCTGCCTGTCACCCAGGGCGTGGACATCTCGGAAACCCAGCTCAGGAGGCAGCTGCAAGTTAAGTGCTGGTCTCAGTCTGCAAGGCTGCCATCAACGCATAGGAGGCATTATCAGCCCTGCACTGGCTATCCTTGGGAAAGAAAGGCAGGGCTAGATTTCTGCTGGATCTCCCCCCACCCTACCCCACTCCCCGCCCTTTTTTGGAGGTTTTTGGAAGAGAGGAGAGAGGTGGTAATAATAAAGTCACATGGAAAGAAAATGAAACACTTGGCAGTTCGTCAGATGACTAATGCAAGATGCTGGTGATGAATTTGCAGAGTGCGCGAGGCATCCATGTGTGCATCAAATTAGTACGTTGTTGCTGCTCAGAATGGAAAGCGCTCCAGCTATGCAGCTCTCTGCAGCTGATTGGCTGCCTACACTGGAAAAAAGGCCAGAGCTGAGAGGGGGCTCTCTTTAAAAAGCACATTGTTTATGGGACCCAGGCACAAAGAGTTTAATTCAGAGAGGCAAAAGGGATCTCAGAATTGCCTGCTTTGTGCTTGAAAGAAAAAAGAAAAGAAAAGAAAAGCAGCCCCAGAAAGTTGATTTCCCACTAAAGAACACAGAATATTTCAAATCTTTCACACTCCATAAATTGCTCTCTGTATATCTGACTTCCAGATGTTGCACTTAAGCTCTAAACAATCACAAGTTTGGGAGAGAAAAAAAGAAAGTCTGCCTTTTCTTCTCCTAAATTCAGTAAATATTTGGGGATGATGCAAAGAAGAACACCATGAGCTTTCACATATCTGCCTTCCTAATGTTGTTTTCCAAACTCCCATTTGGAAGAGAATGCTTGTTTGAGCCTGCAATTCTGGTCACCATCACTTAAGACATCCCTTTTTTACTTAACTGCCCTCCCCATTTAGGCAGAGTAAATAGCAAAGCAAAACCCCATCTCCTTTCCAGTCCCTGCCCTCCCCTCTACATTCTCTAGATCCAGCTCTTCACTGGTGAGAAGGCTGCCTCTAGACGCACTCAAGTGCAGTGCTGTGTTCTTGTGTTAGCTGCTCTGCCTATGAAGACTAATGCACCTAAACAAGTGCAAAGCTGGCAGACAGTACCTAGAGAGCCTTGTCCACAATACCCCTCAGCCCAGAAGCAAAAAGGTCAGAAAGGGAACACACTGACTAAAACTAAACTGAAAACGGCGGGTGTGATTTCACTGGAGTCTTGGGGAAATAGTAAGAAGGTATTCAAAGATAAGCAGAATTCCTTATTAGGTTGTAACAAACAAAAAAGAGCACTTTGAACCTGCTGTGGGTATAGGCTAGTGATGAGCCTTTAAAAGAGAGGAAACAAAAAGACAAAATCAGTGGTTAAAAAACCAAAGAACACATGAAAAGGAGAAATCCTCAATTAGATTTAATCCAGAGAGGAAAGTGATGTCAAATACTCTTCACTAGGTCTTGGCTTCAATTTCTATTTCTTCTCCCCCCACCCTATTTTATCACTCACTTTATTTTCTTATCCTTGAGATAAACAATCAGATTGTCTAACTGAAGCATTTTCAAAGCTTCCTCTAATCAACCTTATTGTCATAAAAAATGTTCTGCTGAATAAAATATTGAGTACAAAATCTTCTTTCAACAATTTAGGTGTAATGTAATGTTTGTTTATATTAGAGCTAGATCATTTATCTTGTTCTTATGCACCTATAATTTTTTTCCAGTCACTCTTTGAGAATACAACAAACACTTTAACCCTGTGGAGCTGTGATTACAGAAGGGTGGAGGTGGCAGAAACTCATGCAGTACAGATTGTATTGTTCTCAGCATGTTGAGAACTGAGAGTGTGGCAAGACTGGGACAGGAAGGACTTGTGGTTATCGCTCTTGACAACCAGCTAGAATGCAAAGAGGAAGGTATCGCCACAGGTCTCAGCTAGCAGAAAATGGAAGTTCAAAAATTGAGGCTGTTGTATGTTGTCTGTAATAACCACGACTACTGTAATGGAGGACTTCTATGTAGTCCAGGCTGGCCTGGAACTTGTGGTGATACTGGAATGGACAAGTGTAAAGTGACAGTATACTTGTCCTAATATCGAAACTTCAAAGTCTAGAGCAAGCATCCCTCAATGTTTCTACAAATGAGAGGCCCTTTATACCTTCCAAGAAAATATAAACTCACAGAGACTATAAAGAAAGGAAAGTTGAGAAGGGAGCTCAAGCCTTACACCTTTGGTCTCTTTGTAGGTAAGCACTGTATTTATAATACCGCTCAATCAACCATCCTTCATGCATGTGTGAAGATTTCTTATCATCCCAAGGCAGTATTGCACAGTGGTTAAGAGCATGGTCTCTGAATCCTGGTACTACTACGTCCTAACTGTGCTACTCCAGACCTCAGACCCTTCATTTGTAAAACGGGACTAACAGACTCTGCCTTAGATTCACATGCTTAGCATAAGACACAGCACAAAATGAAGTGCTCTATAAATGTTAGCTATTTCCACTACTAACTCCTTCTTTGTATTGTGATGCATTTGAAATTATATAGAGCCAAACAAAATCTGCACCCTAAGTAATAATAATACGTATCATTTATATACCAGCTACTGTGCTAGTGCTGGCATTTTAAAAGCTAGGTATCCTCATACAGCCCTATAGGAAGGTAGCATTTTTCAGATGGCAACATTTAAAAAATAAATTCCTTCCCTATGATTACCAGCTGCACTAAAAGAAACCTACATATATACCTTTCCTTTTACTATGAGAAAGATGATGTTAAGTGCTGAACTTAAAGAGTCCTTTACGGCTATTTTAAAACCCACATTTTAAAAAATCATCACATAAAGATGTTTCCTTTCCACAGATGCCTTTCCTCTATGCCTACAGTCATATAGATGAGCACTCTCATCCATATCTACATCATTTTCTGCCTGCCATTTTGCAAATAACCATTGCAAAGATCTGCATCACATGTTAAGGGGATAACAATCCCTTCAATAAATACAAGTACGTCTAGTTGTTGCGTAAATTTAAAATACCACCACCATACCTTCCCAACTAAAAGCTTTTACATACAATAGGTGGTCATATTGCACTCACTACCCATTACAACATCCCACACTCCCAATCCTCATAGTATTCTAAAAGTTGTCAATTTTATTGTAATCCACCCAAATTCCTCCTCCCTTGGACTTTCAACTTCCTTCCTAGCTAATATTCATCTCTAGTGGAGGCTCACTGACTTTTTCTTTTGTCTTCATGGGGATGTAGGTACAGAAATGTTTCGGCAAGACCAAAATTATTTTTTTCAAATTAAACTTTTGTGGGTACTTGCCAGAGGCTTCAGGGAGCCAATGTGCTCTTCATGGAGAAGTAATTTTAGGAACAGTCACCCCAGATCTCAGCAAGACCCTTAATAAGACCTCTATTTAAGATAATTTTATTGGCTTAGAAAATTAGACTTAACTCCATTCATTCCCTAGCCATCCTTGGCACCTAGTACAGTACCTTTTATTGCACAAAAATTCAGATTTAAATTATATTTATTGAAGGCCTTCTCTTTGCCAGAAACCTTTGCCAAGCACTCAACATACAGTATCACTAGAGCTCCAGTTGGAATCATCTGTTTTTTGGAGATGAAGCAATTAAGAGTCACAGAGGTAGTGTGTCTTTCCCAGTGTCATATCCTTAAGAAAACATAACTTCAGAGTGTGAATACAGTAAGACTTAAAGGCCAATTGCCATTTCTTACTATTCCATGAACTGGGTTCCTCTACAGTAATATTTTCCATAGACTCTGATCATTTACAGGCCCTAGTCACAGGCACATACATCTCTTCTGGAACCTTGCCTGCAAATTCCAACAAGATTCCAAGTGCCAATTCTGCTTTTGCCCTCAGCAAGGAGCCAACTATAAGGCTCCTCTAGGATAGATGCCATATGGAACTGGACCACAAAAGTCATAGGGCAGGAAGCCAGTGGGTATTGTTGGTATCAGACTCAGAGCCAAGATGAAAATGTAACAATGTTGGGAGAAAAAAATGAGAGTGCTTACTTTTTGCTTTTAGCACAGCACTGACCTACTTCCCTACTCCATTTTCTAGTAAAAAGAACTAGATCAACACAGGATATGCAAAATATTCTGAAGCTCCTCTAGAGAAGTAAAATATTATTTTAAAAATAATAATTGAGCGGGGGGGTGTGTTCAGTGGTAAATTACTTGCCTAGCATGTGCAAGACACTGTGTTTGATCCCTAGTATTGCAAAAAATTTTTTTTCAACAGTCATTATTAATTCCGGGACAATAAGCTCCTCTAAGACCTAGTAATTTGTAGTTTCCAAAGATTAGAAACTGAGATTTCTAATCTTTCTTTGTCCTTGGATAAATTTCTGTGTTATATTTTCCTTTATACAAAAAAGAAAGAACAGGGCAGGGAATTTGGCTCAGTGGTGCTGTGCCTGCTTCGCAAGTGCAAGTCCTGAGGTCCTGAGTTCGATTCCTGGTACTGGAAAAAAAAAAAGAAAGAAAGAACAACAAACTTATAAAATAGTTATGAGAAATGCTGCCAAGTGGCCATAATTATGTAATGCTGGAAAAAACCATAAAATTCCACCTTCAACATGTATATTAAACCAAAAGCTATGCAAAAAGATGAGTTATATTGGAAAATTTTTGTTCAAAGATAGTCTCAACAGATAGTGTCTTTGGTAGTTATCAATAATTTTATTACTCCAATATTTTTTTCTATTACTC